GCTGTGGCAATGACACTGTTGCTTATAAGTGGCGTGTGTTTTTCTTCCTGCTTTCACTCCAGTAAGTTTTTCTGGACTATGTTTTGGTGTTGTTTTTCAGTGTTGATATTGTCTGATATGCAGTGAGCTCTTTTGTTATGTAATTTCACATTCTCTAAAAAGAGTCTCAAGTGCATTTTCTTGAAATATCATTGTAGTATTTGTTCTTGGTTTTGTTTTCTTTTGGATTTCCCATTATTTGCATTGTATCTTCTTTACCCATTTTTGATTTACATCACTCTCTTATAAATCATTTTTAATCTTCATTTTAAGTTTAAAATTTTTCCCTTTTCCTTTGGTTCTGTTAAGGCACTGGTGTCCAACCTTTTGGCTTCAAGGTCTTTTATCTTTTTAATTGACTTCTCATTTTAAAACACCAGCTAATGGTTTTAATATATTTTGTGGGTCTTTCTAGTGTTATTCTCTTATTCTTTCTCTTTTTGTTTTTGTTTTTGTCAATGTTGTGTGGGATGTGACCTAAGGACTTTGTACTTGGTAATATATTCGGTGGATCTTTCTAATGTTACTCTCTTATTCTTACTTTTTGTGTGTTTGACAATGTTGCATGGGATTTGACCCTAGTACTTTTGTTTCTCATTTTTATGTGAAGTTCATTTTCCTGATCTTTTAGAGGGAACTTGGCTAAGGTTAACTTTTTCCCTTTATGCTCCTTTGTTTTTGTTCTCTATGTTCAACAGCATGGCAGCTTGCTTTCTGGGATTTCTTGCCTCTGTTCTCCTTTTACTCCTTTACCTGGACTTTTCTTTCTGTCTTGTTGATTTTCTCTATCCTGCTCAGCTTTGAATCTACAACTCATTGTTACTCCTTAGTGTAGGATTCTGTCCTAGAAGGGAGTTCTGGCTGGTCAGTGTCAGGAGTTCTTAGGGGCTAGACTGCTCCAGCTCCTTTTAGACCTCATTACCCTTCCATTCACCTATTACTACAGTGAAAAATCCCTCCCCAATTTCAGTGGCTATCTCAAATTGACTTGCTATGAGTTCTACTTATTTTAGCTTTCTCCTATTACTAGTTCTATCAGGTACCAAATTGGCTTTCCTTTGCTTTCTCACACAGAAGTGCCAATATTACGGAGGTCTTATGACTTACTAGTTGCCTATTCCAACCTGTTCATATTATGGAGTTAATAGAGATACAATGTGAATAGGGTCCCTGACTGACGATAGGTTTGCCTTACAATTTTTTCTACTTTATCATGGTGCAAAAGCAATATGCATTCAGTAGAAAGGATACTTCAAGTACCCATACAACCATTCTGTTACATGAGACCTAAATAAATTACATGAGATAGTCAACACTTTATTATACATGTAAAGTAGGCTTTGTGTTAGATGATTTTGCCCACCTGTAGACTTATGTGAGTATTGTGAGCACATTTAAAGTAGGTTAGGCTAAGCCATAATGTTTGTAGGTTAAGTGTTTTAAATACATTTTTTACTCAGGATGTTTTTGACTTAGCAATGGGTGTGTCAGGACATAGCTCCATTGTTAGGCAGGGATTGTCTGTATTTAGTGTTAATGTTTTGGTTTTTCTTTCCATTAT